AAGGGGAAGTGCTACGAATTGAATCTATAGTTCTCTGAATTCAAAGCACATTTATTTTTCTTTCCACATGTCCTTGTGGTCCAGCCTTCTAGTTGCAGGCTACACTGTTAAGAGCAGGACATGACAAAGGTGTTTGGAAGAATAATATTAATGACAACAGCAACTTGAACATGACTTCCTTGCTCAACATTAAAGAAACGATTAAACAAACACATCATAGCACCACACTAGAAAATCTGTAGTTATTATAAATGGTTAATGATGACTATGAAGAAATATACAAGTGTTTACCAAATAACATTAAGAAATTGTATGTAGCCTGATTGCATTTGTGCAGAAATTATGCATCTGGATAAAGAGTAAGGAACAACATAAAGAATATATCTTTTGGCCAAGATACAGGATAATAAGATGTTTTAAAATTGTGTAAAACATAATGCTAAAAAAGTATATGTATTCCAACACCAAGAAAATCTAGCCATAGGTTAATAGATAGACGTAATCAGTAATTTAAAAATTGATTTTCAATGCTTGAAAAATCTGTTTTTCCAAAATAATAAAAAGAACATAATGGCATTTAGAGTAAAAATTAAATACTGATTCAGAGAAAATAAAAGTGAAATTAGAATTAAAAAATGACATTGGGAAGTCTGAGTAAGTGAGAATTTTGCACACTAGAGAGATCTGAAGGCCTCATACCATGTTTCCTTTTATTTTCCCAATGCAATTCAACTCTTCTGCTCCTTAGATTTCATGGTGAAGTCCTGGTTGGTGACTTTCAAACTGAATCACATTTTTTTTAGATGCTGTTAGGCAAGTGAATTTCATCTGAGTTTGATTTAAGTATTTTTGTTGTTGATGATATTGACCTTCAAAATCTTGTCTTCTATCTACCAAACCACCCATCTGCCAAACATCATTCAAGAGACATCTACTGGGTGCTTATGTGTCTTCACATTGCCTAGAGTCTGGCACAGGGCACAGATTAATGGAATACCAGCTCTTACGTGGGACCTGCCAAGAGCTAAGCAGGGGATCACATGCACAGAACTCCTGAATCACTGGGGAGGCATTCCAAACCCTGCTGAGATTCAGAGAGAGAGAGAGAGAGAGTCTCACAGGAGGTGATGGATGAATAAGTCCTGAAGGATGAGAACGATCTAACCTGGGATAACTGGATGGAAAGAGAGGAGTTAGAACAGTGTTTTAGGCAGTGAATCACACTGCGCAAAACATGAAGGCAAGAGAGCATGACCAGTTTAGGACAATTGTAGGTGGCTCTTGTGGGTCCAGAATGGAGAACAAACTATAAAAGAGGAGTGGCTTGAGGCCAGGAAGCAGTAGAGGTGGAATCATGAAAAGCCTTGGGTGCAAGCATAAGAAGGCATGGTAAAGCACGAGTACAAATATCTGGAGCCAGGCAATTTATAACAAAAAAAGGTTTATTTGTCTTACAGTTCTCTAAGGCATCGGCATCTGCTTAGCTTCTGGTGAAGCCTCAGGAAGCTTTTACTCATGACAGAAGACAAGGGGAGCCGGCATATCACATGGTGAGTGCAGGAGCAAGGGAGAGAAAGGGTGGTGACAGGCTCTCTTATGAACTAATAGTGAAAACTCACTTATTACCGCAAGTATATCATTAAACTCTTGATCTGCCTCAATGACGCAGTAATCTTCTAGATCCCACTTTCATCACTGGGGATCATATTTCAACTTGGGATTTGGAGGGGGTAAACATCAAACTATAACACAGAGCAATTGATTAGTACCTTGTCAACTGTAAGGAAGTCAAATTTAAGTCAACTGCTGAAACTAAGACGATAAGGGTATCTTCAGGAATATTAAGAGAGGAGAAAAATTCTGGGGTGACCTGAAGTCCCCAGCTGAGTTTGAACAGTGTGAACTGGCCTACATGTGACAGTGTCTTAAACTTTTTTAAAAAAGAAGTGTGGCTTAACCATTCTTATAAACATCCTGTCCCATCCCTTTTGTGCCTAACATTGGTAGATGCCACCAAAATATCCCATAGTTATCTAATTGACATGAAATTTAAAAACAAAACCAGACTATCCCAAATCCTCAAAGAAGTGAACAACTGTATAAACCAATGTTATGCCTGCAGCAATCCAAATGTGCAAGGAACTCCATTGTTATGGGAGATAAATGAACATGAAAATGGAACATTTCACTCAATGCCATCCTGAAAGTTTGTGAGGTTTCTTTTAAATACTAAAGGACATAATTTTTGCATTGCTAACTCTCCTTCTCTTTGTGGTACTGGAGACAAAATAGACGCCACTTATTCCTTTAATTTTAAAATCTGATTCTTTAAAGTTATTTACAAAACATAGTTATTGTCGACAGCAAACATTCACACATAAGAGTCTCATATAAGAAATTTGAAATGATGGCAAATTCAAGCTCTGAGTTAGAAGAGGCTTTCACTTTGATATAAAATGAAAGGCATGAATGAAGAAAGAAGGATCAGCCCCTGGGTGTGTTGGCCCATAAGAGCCCTTCTCACAAGCTCTGCATGCAGAAGAATCTAATGAATGACTCAACTCACTGTACCCAGGACCACAGACCTTTACAAAAGCACACTTTGGTGAATGAGTAACGAGAAGGCTACATGCATTTATTTCACTAGAATCTAGCAAAGGGGGTGTTATAGTGCATTTCGCAAATGAGAAAACAGGGTCAGAGAGGTCAAGTAACTTGCCCAGGGTCACAGAGCTATCAAGTGGATGTTCCCAGATACATAATGTCTAATCCCCAAGCCCATGCCACAGCAGGAAGCTGCTTTCCCTGACCATGCTGCTGCTGGAAAATAATCTGGTAGTATTATACCACTCAGCTAGGCTGTATGGTTTTGGCCCAAAACACTTACCTGTGTTGGTTTCTAAAACAAACTTGAAACTTAAATTTCAGTTTTGTGAAACTTTGGGAAGCCCCAAATCCACCAGCTTTCTCCATCCTTCTCTGATCCCACTCACTCACAGCGAAATCTCTGTCTAGACTGCTCTCTGCCTTGTCTGCCTGATGACCATCTACGCATCTTTCAGAATCAATCCAAGGGCCATCTCCCTTATGAAGACTTTGTGGCCTCACCTCTTACCTTCCACAGCCTCTCTCTCCTTAGTGCCTGGGGTCAGATTCTGGGTTCAAATCCCTGCTCTGCCACTTACAAGCTCTGTGATCTTGGGCAGTTACTTTTCTGTGCCTCTGTTTCCTCACTTTCAAAATGGGACTAAAAGTTATCCCTACCTACCTCATTATCCCTACCTACCTCATGAGGTTTTTGTGAGTATTGAGAGAGAGAGAGAGAGAATGAAATATAAGAGAAAATGAGACATAAGAGAAAAAGAAAGAGAAGAGAGAGTTTCTGCAAAGTACTTAGCAGCAGTGCCTGGCACGTATTAAATGTCATACACTTGTTAGTTGGTGTTAAATTTATCACTGTACCCACAGACCATTTTTTTTCCCCAGACCGCTTCTCACCCAGACCAATTTTTTCCCCTTCTTATACACGAGGCAGGGATCTCCTTGAGGGCTGAAGCATGGTGCAAAGAAAGTATTTAAGAAATGCTTGTGAAATGTAAGAAATGTTTGTGGACAGCTTTTGGCAATTTCAAAAAGAACTGAAAATGAGCTTCTGTATGATCCAGCAATCTCTCTTCTGGGAATATACTCACAGGGACAGAAATCACTCTACCAAAAAGACACCTGCACACACATGTTTATTCAGCACCTTTCACAATAGCAAAAACATGGAACCAACCCAGATGCCCATTGATAGTGCACTGGATCAAGAAAATATGATACATACACACAATGGAACATTATACAGCCATAAAGAAGAAAAAAATCATGGCCTCCACAGCAACATGGGTATAGCTGGAGACTATCATACTAAGTAAACGATCACAGAAACAAAGAACTGAATACTGCATATTCTCTCTTATAAGCAGACCCTGATTACTGGTTACATGAGCACAAGGGGGGATTGGCAGATGTTGGACACTGCTAGGGGAGGGGAGGAGGGAGAAGGGATGGCGGGCACATGGCAGCACAGTGGATACATGCTCTACTATCAGGGGGAGAGAGAGCCAGCTAGAAGCCCAGACATGCATGTAACTTACTTATGTAGTAAATCCTTCCTTGACCCCCATAACGGAAGGAAGGAAGGAAGGGAGGGAGGGAGGGAAGGAGGGAGGGTGCGAGGGAGGGAAGGAGGGAGGGTGAGAGGGAGGGAAAGAAGGAAGGAGGGGAGAAAAAATGGAAGAAATGCTTGTGAAAGGAATGATGGAATGATGAATTACAGGCAAAGAGGATCTGGTGGGAGGTGACAGGGCCACTACCAGATTTCATTGGCTTGGACAACCCAGTGTCCACCAAACTGCACTCTGCCTTCCCATGTTTGCTGAACTGGATTCCTTCATGAAATGCCAGGGTGTAGCAGGACATCTCCTTCCCAGCAAAAGAGTTAAAGGACACCTTCCTGAGTTCCTGGCTGGCACTCCCCATTCTAGTGCTCTGGTTCCTCCACCAAAGTACGCTGCCTACTGAGTGGCCCATCGCTGCTTGTCGTGAATCAATTCCCCTCACCAGAAAATAGAAGACTGCTTTGTGAAACCCACCACCCACCTGGGTCTAGGAATGCTCAACAGTCACGAGCTAATAACCTCCTCATTCTACAGGCCCTTTCCCAGGCCTGGCCTGGCCTGGATAACTACTACGGGAACACTCAGTCAGCAAGCTCCAGCCTCCCAGAGGTCACTGAGGCACCTTCTCAGGACGTGAGACCGCACTGCAATAAAACGCCATCCCCACACGCTCTGCGACCTCCAGCCGAGCCTCCACTGGGATCACTGAGTCAGCCATTGTCACAGCACAGGGCACCGCCACCCTTGCCATGCTGGGAGGTGGCAGGAGGGAATGTCAGGTAATTTGACAACCCACATCAAACGGCAACAGCTGCTCTTATTGTTACTTCAAAAGTATCAGGTCACCAGAGACTCCTCAGAAATGCTGCTGCGAGCATCTGACATCGGCACCATCACCTGTGTTCCAACCTCCACACTTGGCCGTCGTGGGCATGATGCTGGCTCCTTCCTTCGATGACTAGAGCTGCCCCAGGCCAGCTCTGGCATTCGCTGACTGCCAGTCTGCATGCAATGATAAGCATTTCGTGGGAACAAATGAACCTGTTTTGACTAAGCTAGATGACTATAATTGTTTACTTCCTGCACTGCTTAATTGTTATGTATTAGATACCACATATTGAGATTTCAATGCCTGGAGCATTTAAAATCTCTATCCCTCCTTCCAAAGCAGGATGCATCAATTTTTATTTATTATTTTATTTATTTTTGTGAGTCAGAGTCTCACTCTGTTGCCCAAACTGGAGTACAGTAGCATGCTCACGGCCACCCCAGAGTCGACCTGCTGGGCTCCGATGATCCTTCCTCCCCAGCTTTCCAAGTAGGTGGAACTACCGGCATGCCACCATACCCAGCTAGTTGTTCATTTATTGTAGAGACGAGGTCTTGCCAAGTTTCCCAGACTGGTCTTGAACCCACAGGCTTTGGCAATCCACTCATCTTGGCCCCCCAAAGTGCTGGGGTTATAAGATGAGCTACCAAGTCCGGTTGGGATGCATCCATTTTTAAAACTCTTCTACTGATACCGAAGACCTTAGATTAATATTTGCCAATGTACCTGTCTGACTTCTTTGTCCGATCCTCGGAGTGGCACTGAAGTTCCTCATTAACTCTATTTGAAAAAATACTTCAGGTAACGTTTTGAGGCTTGAGGCAAAGGCCAGGTTTCTCAGACAGATGTGCTCTACACTGAAGAAAATAACCTATGTCTGTCATTCTCACTGACCACTGGAAAATCAACCTATGTCCACTTTCTCAGAGACCAGGCCAGGTCTCACCATGGAAGCCCATGTGCACTGGTTTGTGGCAATGAGTTGAAGGTTCTGCACAACCATGACCTGCTAAGTGGCCTGTGTCTGCCCCAAGGATTTGTGACTGGAAAGTGTGACTTCTAGCCTGACTCCCTTCCTGAGACCTGAAGATACTTCCCTGGGCTATCCCAGGCTTTGCCTGTCCCTCCATCTCAGGACGCTTCACTGGAATTGCAGCTGACCACACTCCCCAACCCTTCTGCCCCTGCCTGTGAGTACCACCCAAGGATAGCACCTAGAAAACTGCCAGGAACAGGGAGTGGGCTCAGTGTCCTGAACCAGTCAAAAGTTGAACAAATGAATGAGTGTGTGCACGGGGGAGGAATCAAGGCAAGGAAGGCAAACAGCTGTCGAACCAGGATGCAGACGTCAGGAAGACCAAGGAGCATAAGGCAGACTCAGAGTGTGAGCAGAGAGGCTGCGGTATTTGCTCCAAGTGGCTCCAGCACATTGAACAACCATGGGCTCACAGTAGGCACTCAATACGTGATGACAATGAATACACACTACGTACCTTCTGTCCCCATGCCCTTCACATGTCTTGTCTGGCTTTAACCTTGCACCAAATCCTACAAGGAGCTGATATCATTTTTGGCAAAGAGAATGAAGGACCAGTGATAGACGCTGACTCCCCAGGGAAGGCATGACCCAATTTCTACCACCATCATTAGTCTGACATGCTCACTAGAAAGGCAGAAAAACTCTGTAGTGAAGCAAATGGATTCGTGAACCAGTCTGCCTGAGTTCAAGTTCCTAGTCCTGCCACTTTGTGTGTAAAGTTGGGTGACTTACTTCGTGTAAACTCTCTGTGCCTCATGTGGCTATGGGGATGGTGACAGGGCACAGGGGCTGCTGTGAGACTAGTTAAGTCAAAAGATAGATAGCCCAGAACCTGACATACAGCAAGCACTATGTTTACATGGTAGTCTTGAAACACTATTCTCTACCACCCAAACTATAAATGGTTTCCTTGGTATCATTGACGGGAGAGGGGTGGTTCGTTTCTTCCCCCTTCACAGGTCTGATCTCCTCAGTCTTCGTGGGCTGAAATCAGTGAGCTGCAGGATGTGGAAACCCAGTGGGCCTTGACCTTGACCATAGGGTAAAAGTCAACCATTTACAGATGTCAGTAAGAGGAGTGGGGAGGCGAAGAAAGGTAATCTAGTATCTATTAATCGGTATTAAATGCAGCTAAAAGATGTAACTAAGAATCTGTCCAAGAGTTCCCTGTAGGGCTAGTGTCTAAGTCCCAAATAGACTTCCAAGTCCCAGGTACCTATATGGGGCCAACTTCTTTATCTGCTGGAAGAAGAGCATCTTTCCTGTTTAACGAAGCTTCTTTTGGTCCCTGACAAGATGAAATGCCCAGAAGTATAAGGCAGCCTTCTGGATTCCTGTGGACAGAGCAACTTCACAGACCCTCACCCCCCCCAGGCCTTGCTGTTTAGTCCCTGTCCTGTGCCACCCACCCCACAAGAGGGCCAGGTCCCAATGCAGAGCCTGAATATTTGGGAGCCCATAGCCCTCCAGTTCACTACCCACCTCTTGACTCAAACTCTTGGGCAGATCTTGGCTTCCCTCGTAGCGGAGACCAGTGGACTTTTTGATAGCTCAGGGCAGTCAGCATGGTAGGAGTGTTGGGATAAGCTGGTGGGAATTAACAGTTGGTTCCTACTCTTGCCAGGTCTGCATTTGACTCAGGGCTCCACGGCTGCAGATAGAAAGAGTCTCCTCCTTCCACCCAGAACAAGAACTTTGTCTTCTTTCTGTTTTGTCTTTTCAGAGGTCCTTCATCACCCAAAGCTCCCCTGGCCTCAGGAGCCTAGCCACCCAGTTGCTCCAAGACTTGGCTTCCAACTGACTCTTTCTTTTGCCCCTTCTGGCCCCTCACCTCTTATCCCAGCACCATCCAACTGTTTGAAATTCCATCCTCCAAACCATACTCCTTCAGTTGCCAATGGAAATATCCTTCCTGCCCTCTTCACCTGGTTTAACTTTATTCATTCATTCACACTCAAGTCAAGGATCATCCTCCCCATGAAGCTTTCTCTGACTGTTTCCTCTGCGATGTCTTTCTTTTGTGCTCTTATAATTCCTTCTGGAAACTTCTGTCAATGTATTTACCAGATTGCATATAATTTTCTCTCTTTATGGGTCTGTCCCTCATAACAATGAGTGAGTTTTTTTGACTTTTGTCTTTGCATCTTCAGTGTCTAGCCTGGTGCCTGCCACGTTGCAATGTCTGAATGATTTGGAAGAATCTGCCCAAATCATTCCTAATTCACAGAAGAACAAGTCCCACCAAAGCAGTTCAGCATCTCAATCAACACAAAATGGTTGTACATAGAGTACTGTGACTATGACACAAAAGTCACAAAACTATACTGCACTTAAAGGTAAGGAAACCCTGGGGAGGTGAACTGCTGTGCAGTGAAGGAATTCAGCATCTTGGAAAAGGAATGTGGAACATGGCCACTGTCTTCTGGTAGATCCTGGAAAACAATGCTTGCTTTATGAATGAAACCATAGCTGGCACCTGTAAGTCGGCTACTGCAATTCTACCCTAAAAACATTGTGACGTATGCTACTCTTTTGGACCAAATATGGAGACTTCATAATTGTGTAGACAGAATTTTGCCTAAAATATTTTAAAAATAAAAACTGAATTTATATCTATAACAGAAAAAAATTCTTACATGTAACACAGGAGTTTTTAGAGACCTTAGAAATATCCGAATTTCTTTGGTAGAATACAGGGCGGCACACTGATTCTCCTAGGGAGTGACGGGTCTCTACGTGGAGACACAGAGGCAGTGAACTCAACAATAGCCCATTAGAGCTTACAACAACCAGATAGGAAGTGGCACCACCAAAGCATTTTATGAGAATAGGACATTGCTAGCCTTTGAATAATTAATTCCAAGAGTCATACAGATGTATGGAAGTCATCAACTCTGACTGATTCTAGGTTTGGTGCTTTGTTAATTAAACCCCATACTCTGTTGAAACACACACACACACACACACACACACACACACACACACACACACACACACACCACAGACAGAAAATACATGTTATATTATATTATCTGTATTTCATTTTAACTTCTTGGTTCAAGATGCATATAAACCTCAAAAGTCATGTTCAAACTCACCAGGAAATAGGATCATTAGATTGGTCTTACCCTGAGGTAGTTGAGGGTGAAGTTTGTTAGCCCCATCCTGGTGATGTTTTTGGACAGCTGATCCAGGACCTGAGGATCTTGTGCCTAAAATGACAACAGAAATAATACATTTTATCCCTTCAAGATGAACCCAAGAAAATCTTAGATTATGCTACAGCTGCTAAAAAAATGCAGTCTCGACATTGTCAATTTTTCTTGGAGGGCAAGTTGCTGGAGGTAGTTTAATTTACATTTTGAAGACACTTGCATGGAACACTCAAGGACATTTTGGGATCAATTATGCAAGCCTGGGGAAAACCAAACTGCCTTGAATATGGGTTCTCAGTTCTTGGGAGAAATAGCACTACGTCCTCTGCAAAAGGATAAGTTACTGAGTCCTACAAGAAAGCTCTAGATCTAGGGCCTTCATCAGAGTATGTTGTGCTTCTGATTGGGTAGAGCCATGCTTTAGAACTGGCCTTCTTTTTTTTCTGCTGCGATAATGGTGGTGGTTTTATAGCTTGGGGCTGGAGGCCAATAATAATTTTGCCACTATCATGAAAAAAATATATATGTATGTATGTGTGTCTCTGTGTGTATATACACACACACACAGAGTGAGAGAGAGAGAGAGAGAGATGGAGGGAAAAAGGGAGAGAGAGAGAGAGAGTTATAATTATAAGAGTTATAACTCTTTTCTCCATTAAATTGAGACTGGAAATAGATGTCCCCAACAACTGTCACTCTGAAGGACAGTAAGGATAAGTATCACATTTTCCAAAATGTCAGCCACATTTTAAAAAGGGATGTAGAGTAGCAAGGACCTCTCCAAATACTCTGTTTAGCCAGGAAAAAAAAGAACTCTTTCTGGGTTCCATTTTTCAATGAGACTCTTGATTGGCATGCTTTCTGTTTGCCTTTCCTTCCTTCTTAATTAGTACAGGCACATTGACCCTAAACAGAAAGAGTTGGAAATAAACATCGCTTTACATCTACATTCCTGACACTGTCTGGGCCATACTAATGCTACTTTAACTTATTTTTTTTCTGTACTTACTTTTTTCTCATAATGATACAACAAATCGAACTTGTTTATATACATAAAAAACAAAATGCAGGAGAAGCATATCGTGTTAATTTCTTAAAAGAGGACTTTTGGACATCCATCCTATAATTTATCAAGCTACTCTCATGTGTGAGGAAGAGTTTGTTCTGCAGAGGTGCATCAAGTAGTCATAGCCAACCTCAAGGAGCTTATATTTCAGTCAGAAGACAGGATGATAATAAATGAGTGGAAGAATGTTGTCCCTGCTGCTGCTGCTGAGAACCAATGGCCAATACCTGCAGAGGACTTACTCTGGGCAGGCATTGTTCTATGTGCTTTACAGTCATTAAATCTTAATTCTCAAGCCAGTTCTCTGAGGCATAATTTATTACTGTACCCACCGTATAAATGGGAGACTGGAAGCATAGAGATGTCAGGTCATTTGCCCAAAGTCATACAGGAACAAGGATATGACCCTATATTGTCTCAATCCAGGGGCCAGGCTCCCAACCACTATCCTGCTGCCTCTCGGTCTATTTTGAGAATAACAAGAGTGAATACTCCAGACTTCTTCACTTAGAGTAGAGGATGTGACCTGAGCTTTGAAAATTAAGAAGGATGTGGAACATGGAGAGTCAGAAATAACGGAGTAGGAGAGTGGGGTGCCATAGCAGAAAGTGTAAGGCCAGTGGAAAGGACAGAGCTTGGGCTAACTAGCATAGAGAAAAGGGTTGAGAACAATAGCCTGGAGAGAGAGCTTGGAATCAGGTAGCAGGGACACAGTTGGCTTATCAGTTGAGGTCATAAGCTCAGAACTAGCTGAGTCAAAAACCTTGATTTTGAGCTGGGCATCGTGGCTTATGCCTGCAATCCCAGAACTTTGGGAGGCCAAAGCAGGAGGGTCATTTGAGCACATGAGTTTGAGACCAACCTGGACAACAAAACAAGAACTCATCTCTACAAAAAAAATTTTAAAAAATTAGCCAGGTGTGGTGGCACACACCTGTAGTCCCAGCTACCTGGGAGACTGAACCCAGTAGGTCAAGGCTGAGGTGAGCCATGATCGTGCTGCTGCACTCCAACCTGTGCAACAGAATGAGACCCCGACTCAAAAAATCCAAAATGAACAAAAAAAACACTTGATTTTGCCACTTTGGGGCTAAAAAATTGGACAATTTATTGAACTTAGGTGAGCCTTAGTTTCCTCACTTTGAAAATAGTAATAATAATAGCTCATCTCTCTGCGTAATTATGACGATTAAATGTAATAATGTATACATAATGTTTATCTCAAAGCTTGGCATAGTAAGCACCCAATAAATAGTAACCACTGTTAGTTTATTTTCTTTTGATTGTTCAGAGTCTTAAAAATCAGGTTTGTTAGGTCTGATTTTGCTCCAAAGGTTTTTCATGGGAGCTGCTGCACTATGTGTTATGGAAGAGGTTTTTATTTAAGTCAATACCTTTGACTCCTTCTTAAGGGATTGCACCTGACTAGTTCCTACTTGCATTGAAAATACATGTCTATGTTGACATCAAACCTGCTCTTGCACCTAGTTGGTGCTTAATATGTTCGATGTGATTTATGGCCTAGTGAAACCAAGAGAACCCCAAATATTCCACTTCAAATCCAGTGCCGTGGTCATGAAGGACCAACTTCTGCTGACATGGATCTGAAGGTACAACAATAACACATCTTGTCAGATGGTTCTAATCACGACTGGAAACTGTTTCTCTTACTTCTTGTTTTTTAATCCCCCAGTTATACAAAACAGATTTATGAGCCCAGGCAGAGCAATACTTGATAATGACTGAATGGAATTTAAGACAAGTACAAACTGTTTATTGAGGTAACCTCAATTTGGAGATCAAAATAATAAAGTTTCAAAAATAGTATTCCAATATACCAAACTTGGAAACAAAAAAGAGGGGAAAAGGGGCCCATGGATTACAATGGTTGACAACAAAACTCAATATTTAGAGTTAATTACCTAAAGCGTGACGACTACTGGAATTCTTTCACAGAGAGAGGACTGGGTTTTTTCCCTTGAGTAAAATGAAGGAGAAAAAGGAAAGTCAAACAGAAATTAAATTACTTACATGCATGGCTAGAATGCTTCTCGGGACTAACTCTCGATATTGTCTAATGGTAAAGTGCCATGTTTTTATTCTCATGAGATCATCAAAGGTGAACTCCAAGATCAGTCTGCCTTCTGTACATACCTAGAAGTGACAAACAACACACTCATTTGTTACGTACTTTGTGAAAGCCACATTTTGTAACTCATACATCAGCTACTCAGTGTGGTCTCCCTTCCTGTTCTTGGATGGTGTTTGCTCTTAGTAAAGTTGTGACACAAGTGGTTTATCCATGACACATGGGACAAGTATCAGCTCTAGAGTCAGTGGGTCCAAAAGACTGCACAGCTGCTTACTAGGCATGAGGTACCAGTAATTCTACTAGTTACTACTGAAGGCTTTTATGGGCTTTCCTTTCTTCAGCTGTTAAGTATGGGGACAAAACTTATCTTAAAGGGATATTGAATCAGAAACTTCTGGCATGCAATATGTGTCCTCCCAAAATGGTACCCTCTCACTTCCTACTTTTTCTCTGTTTTCATTGCTCTTTGACAATAGAGACTTGGGATCTTATCCCAATCTTGCTTATCCTACTCTGAGAGGAAGTATCCAGTAAAATCACTCATGCTTAAGTGTGAGTTATTACTAGTATACCCAACCAGAGGAAGTTCTCAAAGCTTAACCCAAGGTAGCGGGTATTGGTTACTGACATGTGGAAAATAAAGACGTGTTCTGAGAGTCTATTCCATGAATCTCATCACATCAGCAATGACAAATTCTGCTTGCATAAAAGGTCAGTCTTGGTGGGATGGGACATTTTATCTTTCTAAGGAAAATATATATTATTAGTGAAACATAATTTTGGAGGCTTTCTTTCTTGATAGAACAATCAGTGATAGGGTAACATTTTAATCATCTTTGGATATTCAAATCATTTTCAGCAAGTAGGTCCTAATTTATTTACCATTCTTTTTACTATTAATGATTTTGAAATGAAAGAAAATGCTGGACAATCACAAACTCCTGAGCCTATTTCAACTATGAGTTGGGAAGTAGTGGGAGCATATTGGTTGTTTACAAAGCTAAGGTTCATGTATCAGCCCATTTTTGCCTTAGGGAGGCAGTACAAAATAGTGGATGCCAACTTTGGCCTCGGGCAGTACTGGATTTGAATCCTGACCTATATTTTTGCTTATCTTGGAACTTCGGGAACATCAAATGAATTCCCTAAATTCCAGTTTTCTTATCTGTAAAATGGGGACAATAACATTCTTAGGTATGGGTGTTGAGAAAATACGTGAAATGAAATTGTGTATGTAGATTGCCTAGAATTGTGCATGGCACACAGCAGGATGGCAGAAAATGATAGCTCTACAGGCAAAAGAAACACAAACAAAGAGAACACAGAGCCCTGGACGAGTGGTGGTCATAATGTGCCCCCTGAGTCCTAGAGGTTCTCTGGCAGAAGAGCTGGGCTTCCACCTCAACTCTGAGACCTCTACTAATTTCTTGGATTTCATCAGAGCAGCTTCAATTTTATCTGTTTAAATAGGTTTCTGAATGAGTTTTTTTTTTTTTTTTTTGAGTTGGAGTCTCACTTTGTTGCCCAGACTGGAGTGCAGTGGCCGCTCCCAGCCACCGCAGCCTCAACCTGCTGGGCTCTGGCAATCCTTTCACCTCAGCCTTCCAAGTAGCTGGAACTACAGGCATGTGCTACCACACTCGGCTAATTTTTTGATTTATTGTAGAGATGAGGTCTCGCCAAGTTGCCCAGGCGGGTCTTGAACCTGCGGGCTCAGGTAATCCACTCACCTCAGCCTCCCAAGACACGGGATTACAGGCTAAGCCACCGAGCCCGGCTGAACGAGCTTTTTTGGAGAAACATTCTCTAGGTTAAAAACAAACATACAAAATTCTGGAGACTTTCAAAAACATCATTAAACATAAATAAGTAAAATTAAGCTGAATAGGAGATATGAGTATTTCTAAAACTATAGTTTATGAAGGTGGTTAACAATTTATAACAATCTTTTATGAAATATTAATAATCACATTTTTCTTGGGAATTTAATGCAAAACACCACCATTTGTTGAGTTGTAACTAGGTCCTCAGCACCAGGTTTGGTGTTTTACATGCACTCTAATTGAAGACATATTTTTTTAACAAGCCAAATACCAGTAGTGAAGAATTACAAACAAGTATTGACAGGGCCCTACTCAAGAAATATGCTGCTAATGTCTGCCATCTTTGTCTCATCAAAGATCTCAGAGACACTGTGAGATAATTATTGATAATCTGGGAGAAGTCCTCTCCCTCAGATCCAATTAGCAGAATCTGTGGGTAATTCCAGGAATTTGGGAAACTTGCATCAAAACTCCTGGGTGAGTGATCTTCAGAGCCTTGTTTCTGGCGTCTCAGTCATGGGAGCTGAACACACTGAAGAGAAGATGAGGGAAGACTTCAGTGTCCCCAAGTCACTCCCCTAGAGCATCCTCAGCATTGGAATTAATTTACCAAGGTTTTAAAAGAAGTTGCATGGAGATTAAGTCACACAATTCCCCTTAGGGTGTTAGCATGACAGAAGCCACCTGCAGTGACAGCTTTCACAAAAGGGAGGTGGCTACAGGCAGCCAACAGCAGTGAAACATCTTGACAACACAGAATGGGGATGTTTGGGTGCTATAATCTTTTTTTAAAAAAGAGAGACGATTATTGGATATTTAAACAAATATTAGCTCAGTTAAATGTCAGGCTTTTTTATTATCTAATCTATTTGTTTTGTGTTTATGAACCACAAACGCAGGGCAGGTGAAGGCTCTGGTTTACTTCTACTGGAGCTGAATTTCATCATGGGAAGGCACGTATGTAGCCCTCAATTGGAGCATCTGTAAGGTCAAGTTGAATTCTGTTCTTTGTTCATGGTGACATAGCAAACTAGTTGGGACCTTTCTTGCAGTCAAACTGTCATGGGCCTACAAAATGAAAAATTGCAACAAGTCTTGGGCTCCTTCTTCATTCAAAACCAAGAATTCGGCTTTATCCAGGGTATACCATGCACAAGACAGGAATCCTTAGAGTCAAATCTGAGTTGACTGTGTTGGGTGTTTTCTTCAAGGAAAAATAAATGACTTCCTTGAATGAAAAGACAGAAGAGGATTTTGGTCACTGCTGGTCTTCCCTAAATAATTACACCCACAGCATCATCCCAAGCCCTAGGCAGCCCTTCTGTCCCTGTGCCCATTGTGGAAGTCAAAGCAAACCAAAGGCTTTGTGATTTGTTTTACATGCAACAATCAGCAAATGGAAGAGGAGCATAAGAAAAATATACATATATTTTGCTAGGAAATGGTAAAAACAAAATGGGCATAGCCCGTAAAGGGGAATTAATGTCTTCTCTCTTTAGAAAAATTATGTGCATTCCTCTTAATCAATACAATTAATGTAGCTTTTATCTAAAGTCGGCCTTTTTTTTTTTTTAAAGCTGCCTTTCACTTGGAATCCAAAATCAAAAGGGTCCCCAATTAAGAAAACATTTTCTGTTTGCTGAATTCATGTTACCGTACTGTGAGCTCTGACATTTTGTTTCTGTGGTAACCAAAATCAGCTGATTAGTTGGCATGGCAACAGAAAAGATGTAATCCCAGCAGACACACTCTAATCAATGCCCCCAGCACAGATGGTCTCCGGAGGATCAACAAGAAAGAGGCTGGCAGGCATTCAGCCGATCACGTGCTAGCTTGAGACTAGGCCAGGAACAAGAGAACTAAAAAAGAATATTTCTCAAACTAACCAGTAGCTTTTTAACCCTTTTCTTTCTTTAAGTAATTGTAAAACAATATTGGCCATGGACGTCGCTGTATAATGCAATGATTCTCATATAGCTTTCATAAAATAAGGTATGCTTTTTAGATATCAGTGTTTATGTAATTTTCTTAGTTTTTATGCTTGGAATAGCATGCATGGAATAGTGCTTTCAGATGAACAGTTGCATAAATCTCATTGTATGTTACTTAGAGATGCTTCATATATAAAGGCATATATATATATATATATACACACACACACACACATACATATGTATACATTAGAGCAATTTGCACATTATATAATAATTTGGTTAGAGTCAGGAGAAGACTAGAAATTCTGGAGTATAAGGTGGTATACAGACTAAGGTAAAAATGATGATCTACCTGTCAAACACAAACGTGAGTATTCATGTAGAAAACCTGACTGGTACACATCCGTGATACTTTCCTACAGTAGTAAATAATTTCATGATAAATAATTGAGAACAGAGAAAACATAAATCTATGTTCGCAGAGGTGAAAAGTATGCCCAGTAATGGCTGAAACTATTGCTACAGTTTGTAAAACCCCAAAATACTCCCAACAATGTACTCCAGTAAGTGCCCCTCTTAGCCACTGTCAATATTTCCAATCTCAGATATAACCTGGGGGCCTTTAATTCTAACTATCTTTGTGCATGTTCTTCTGATTATTAAGCCTTGTTTTCTATTTGATTCAAAAACTGAAAACATAAAAGAAAGACCTTGTAATGTGTGCTTTAAAATTTTAATTACATATTCATCCATAATCTATAATGTTCCCAGTATCAGGAAATTGCAAAATGCTCATTATACTCCTGAGGAATATTTAATATTTCTGTTGATTAGGATTGTGGCTGATTTTTGATTCACCAGTTGACCAAATTTTCATAAAAGCAACTCAGAACCACAGGGTAAAATACTATGTGGGGAATGAGAGTTTATTGAGAGTCTAAATTAGAGCAATGTGTGGTTGCCTCCAAATAATATGCTAAGTACATAGCACCAAGCCTTCCTTTGAAAGTAAGCATTGGCTTCTGAACTCTTTCTCTTTGTGATACTGAAAGGTCATTAGTTTGCTGTTTCATAGTAAATAGCCATAGTATTTTATTATGTGAAGATAAGTTATTTTAAAATAACATAAGAACAAAAGAAAAAACTGGAAATATTCTTTGGGTAGTATACTAATTACCAAGACAAAAAATAAAAAAGAAAATGAATCATTTGAAACTTCCTAAAAATAAATGTGTATAATTAGCATCTGGACTAAGTCCACATAACTAAGCTCCATTTCCCAGAAAGTGGTATTTTTCATCACAGTATGGAAATCTCCACTCCAGGAGTTGGCAAATAGACTGCCATGGTGTCAAGTCAGATGGGTGGTTCAAATAACTGCAGCATGGGGCGAGGGAGCTGTGTTCAGGGGAAGGTTCGGTTCTGGTGACTGCCTTGGTTGCCTGAACAAACCACTCAGCCATCTGAGAGGGGAACATTTCAGGATAAGAAATACTGCAACACAGGAAAACCTTGAATTGAATGAAAATAGCACCTCTCAATTTATCAGAAGAATGGGATTCTTTTTTCATCTAAATGTTCAACAGTGAGTCTTCAAAGCAACTAACTACTTTCATTTATGGAAAAGTTTTGACCTGAGAAAGAAAATGATTGAGTAAATATATGAAAGGGCTACTACAAAATGCATTTTTTATTTTCACGGCTACAGGCTTTGGAAGCAGCTCCTTAATTACTGCAATACTTTTTACTTAAGTATCATGAATTCCTTTCCCCTTAAAGCATAAGGAGTTGGTATGTTATTCTTGAATTACCTAAAAGTAACTTTAAGCCCAGAGAAAAAACAATAATGAAGCAGCATAGAAAGACTTTCCTTTCAGTACTCAGACTTTGTAACACTAGAAATGAATGGCTTGTGTATCCACCTGATCTACGAGATTATGTAAATGGTTTGCATCTCCAGACAAAAGTGAGCCATGGACCGACTAAACCGTCTTTCAGGTGATTTCTCCTTTTCATACAGCAAAAGTCTCTTGCCAGCACAGACTTTTTGCATCTAGTGTGAAGCTTCTTCTCCTCCAAATGACAACTTTCTTCTTTGCCCAACTGTTGAAACGGGAAGGAAGAGAAAAATCCTATACTATCCCACATTTAAAATGTCTACTGACAAAATCTAGGTACCATAGAATCGATGGCATTTGAGGATTTGCTTTTGCATTTGTGGTCATTTCCTTTGCCTCTGGTTCTGTGTACAACCATGGGCACTGGGAAGATGACCCTGCACTAACAAGAGCAATGAATAAATAAGAAACATCTTTTTTTTATTCTCACAGAAAAATTGCATAAGTATTATTACACAACATCTTTGATTTTATAATTTGGGCTTTTGAAATTAACCATGATAATTCAACTTCTCTTAACTATGAAGAGAGGGTTGTCATTTGTGTTCTGAATGAAAAGATAGCTGCTATCTTTAATATCAAAAATTAGTTTCATATTGAGTCTTAGTCAAAATGTAATGAACTAATATTCATTAAAATGAACTTTCCTTAGCCAGACTTTATAGCTAAATATTTGTTCTTACGAATTTTTCTACCTGCAAGAGATCATAAAGGGATCATAGTGTTCCAGAAAGATCCTTGGTGAGAGGGAATATTCCATATGTCAATTTTCTGTGTACAGCAAGGATCATAAGTGTAAAATGTATGGAAGATGAGGTTGAATCTCTATTTCTTCTATTGTTCATTTCAGAGCCTTTGTCAGGTCTTGAATTCTGATGCAAACATTGTGATATCTAATCCCAACACCTGTCCTCCCCTCCCGTTGTCCTCATTCCCTCTTTTATAACCAACATACAGCTCTACCACGCTCACTTGCTAAACTGCTTGTCTGATGCACTAACTGATTACACAACTTCTTCGAATTTGGGAAAAACAAACTTTAAACTCTAAATTCCCCAATTTCTTTGATATTTTTATGTTTTTATGTTCCTGACAGTTAACAGTTGGATTGTGGTCAGTGAATTTTCCCCCTATTTGTTCAAATTAGAGTTTAGCTGTTAACAATGAAAAAAACCCCATATTTTTATTTTGTATTAAAAAAGTTATTTTGTTTTGTATTTGTAACAAAGCACAAATACAGCACTGATCACACAACAATAGGAGAATGTTCTTTCTGTAAAAATATCAATCTAGCAACTATAGAAATTATATCTTTGTATAAAAATAAAAATTTCAATCTAGTCACTAAAATTTCAAAGGCTGAAGGACCTCTGCCTTTTTGTCTCTCTCATCTTTGATTTTCATGTGCTTAATATCACACGCACACATCTTAGAGCAGGGTTCACCCCAAAAGACGCAAGCCATGTCACAAAAAGAAAGATTCCATCCTGGTGCTGAAACTGTCTGAGAGACAAGCAATCAGCTCCAGAAGAAAACCGTAATTGTTATCTTTTAATTCACTCAGAGTAGGAAAATACGATGGAACCTGTCCTGTACCTTGGTAAACATGGGCTTCCCGTGCTGAGTGACCATGGTACACTGGTCGCAGTCCACTGTGATGGATGAGTTGTGGTATGACTCTTTCGAGTGTTTGAGAATGTAATACAGGTCGGTCACCCCTCCTTCAAACACAGTGCTAAAGTAACGAGGGATGAGGGTCCTGCCGATAGCTGGGAGAGAAACACAGAGAAACAAAACATTAACAAAAATATCCGACCAGCCCCACACATCCCGCACCATCATCAAACCTCCTACAAATGGACACAGATCACCTCAAGAAACCATATCAGGAGGCAGCTTTCACTTTATAAACAGCCATGACCCCTCGGGGTTATGATTACTAAAATATAAACCCCAACTATTCAAGAAAAATGTGTAGAGTCATTACTCCAGATTTTGTATCCACTGAAAGTCAATAAAGTAAGTTACTACATCAAAAATGATGGGAGGGAAATGCATGAACAGCTTTGAAGTGAACATGTTTTCAGAAAAATAAGACACATTCAACCTACTTGGATTTTTCAATGCATCGTTCATAGACCAGTTACCCATGTGTTTTTTTTTATTAGTAGTAGTAATAATATAACTTTTAATTACATGATGCTTTGTAGTATGTAAAGTACTTTGGTATTCTCTCATTTGGCATTTAGAACAACCCCAAGAGAGTACAGGACCGAGACCCAAAAAAGTTATTATGAATGTTTCAAAGTCACATGACTTATAAGTAGATATTTGGGGTCTCTAACTCTGTATCTGCAAATGACAAAACACTTCCTCTTTTCAACACTGTGTCTCAGACTGCTTTAAAGAATGGAAATCTTTAAAAAGTAATCCACATCTCCATATACAAAGAGATCCATAACTATGTAAATACTGATTATTCTATCTGCTTTTGGAGCTGTATAAGATAGCTCTCTAGAATAAAAGGCCCATTTTAAGGGAACTTGATACATTCCACTTGGTCTAAATTAGTCTCTTTCATTCCATGTGTGTCTGGTCCTGCCCCATTTTCGTTTCAGCGATTGTGTAAGTAGCTGGGCCTTTCTGATATATGATGCTTAGAAACCTGTAACAAGCCCTTTTTTCAGCAGTGATTTGAAATCCTCTTACACTGGAAATTCCAACTCATAATATCAGGAATTTTGCCTATGTGCAGATTTTAACGCAAAGTTCTAAAGCTCTCTCAAGCAATCCAAGGTTTTTAATAAATCTCTTATATTCACTATATAATACCCTTTGAAAGACAAAAATAATATTTAAGATAAATAAACTACCAAAGAGAGCATTATCTAGGAAAGATCACCCAGTTGTCACTTGAGTGTTTTAAAATATTTAATTTCATTTTAAAAGAATCAGTGCTAATCCATTGTGTATGTATGGATCTATATCTCTTTTGTACATGGACTTGGAAAAAAAAAATAAAGAAAATACCCAGCCTAACTATTTTCTGAAATAATTTTTAAAAGCCCCCATAAGGATGTCTAGTCTCTAAATAATTTATATAGTTGTTATTGCTTCATATTTGGTGCAGGTAAAATCAATCAACAAGTGTGTGCTAAATATTACAAGATCTTCTGTGATTCCATCCTAAATAATCCTTCTGCATATCTTTCCTAAATATTGCCTAATCCTCAATACTGTGTGTTCATTCTCTAAATATAAAATTCAAATGAGAGTAATTTGCGTCCACCATATCCTTAAACATTTGCATAACTAATACTATAAAGAAAAGTTTGTAATGTTAACATCTTTATTATACTTTGCTAAACAGATAAAATTAATTGAATGCATTTCAAATTTTCTAACTTAAAGCTAATCATCACAAATCATTGCAAGTAATTTGACAGTTTGGGATCTGTACTCTTCAGAGCAAATACAAGTCAGAAAAAATGCAGATGTAGGGCAAAAATATTTAGCAGCAATGTCCAAAGAATGGTCACATTAAAAAGGTTACAGCAGCAGCAATGTCCAAAGAATGGTCACATTAAAAAGGTTACAGCATAGCCACATTATTTTTTTAGAGCACTGTTTGCTTAAATATTTTCTTTCTTTTTATTCACAGTATAAGAAAATTTAATGGAAAAAAGAGTTTGAGATTCCTTAACTTTAAACTCAAGTTTTTAATTACTTCCCTGATTTCAGGAAATGTAAAAACCAGATAGTAAATATATTTAAAGAGAAACACAGCTTTGCTTTACTGAATAATTTCTAGCACTCTAGGAAATGGTTGCCATGGATACTAGAGGTTTGTTTCAGCCCTGTTTCTTTTGTGGGACTGCCTTTCCATTTTCCCATGGACCTGTTTGGACCATTAGTCACAAAGGTTCATTATCCACTGTGGTAGACTAAACCCACAGCCTGGTGGCCCCGATAAACCATGACAATGGTATTCACACCCTTGTGTATGTAGTCTCCTCTCCTTAGATCTGAGCTGGGCCCTGTGATCTGCTTTAATCAATAGAATGTGACACAAGCGACCTTATGTCTGTTTTGGGCTAGATCTTAAGAAGATCTGGAAGCTTCTACTTTGTGCTCAGGAAGAAGTCAGTTGCTGTGTACAAAGTCCAGCTTCTCCAAAACTGTGAGAAGCCCTACATAGCCACGTGAAGTCACCTGAAGGAGAACAGAGAAAGCCACAGCTGAACTTCCAGTCAACACCCAGCACTAACTTGCAAGGGTAAAACTGTCTTGGAACGATGTCTTGGACGTGAATTATTGAGCTCCAATTGAGCTGTCTCAAACTGGTATCACGTATCACATGCAGTAGAGATCAGCTGTCCCTGACACACTGCCCAAATTGCAGAATCATGAGTAAATAAATGTTTGTTGAGGTTTTTTTTTTTTTAAAGATAGCAATGAATAACTGTAGCACCTTTCAAACACACTGCCACAAAGGTAGGAAAATCAGAATCTTTTCCTGAAAGAAAGAGGGCAATTTTACTATTAAATCTTGCAAGCCATGAAAATATAGAGGCCTGCATACAGAGGAAAAGCAAGGAAAACAGACAGTTGTATTTGGAGACTTGTCTTGGCTGGGACCAAAACCAACTCCATTCCTCAGAAGGTCCACTTATGTAAGATGTGTCCCTCCCCCACTTTTTTCCCCCTTGAACTAGTTTGGGTTAGGTTTCTATGATTTTCAGACAGAGGAATCCTGCCTGACTAGTGCTGTCTTGTTCCAGCATGGACTGGGGTAGTAGACACCGGTATAGGATCAAGAAGAAGCCATGAGACTGATCAACTGCAAGAGGTACTCGAGTCTTTCTTTGTGCAACACATGGTGTTAGCAGTGGCAGGAGCGGGCACAGTGGCTCACACTTATAATCTCAGCACTTGGGGTGGCTGAGGTGAGAGGATTGACCGAGCCCACAGGTTCGAGACCAGTCTGGGCAACTTGGCGATATCTCATTAAAAAAAAAAAAAAAAAAGAAGCGGCAGGAGATTAACAAAGTGTCAAGGATTGTAGTTGTGTCCTGTTGCTATTGTAACAAATTGCCACAAACTTAGTGGCTTAAAATAACACAAATTTATTATTTTATAGTTTCGACAGTCAGACATGGGTCTTGCTGGACTAACGTTGGGTTGTCAGCAGGGATGAATTCCTTTCGGAGGCTCTCGGGGAAAATCCATTTTCTTATATTCCACGGCTGCTCACATGCCTTAGCTGTCACCTTTTTCTCCATGTTCAGAATCCACTGGGCAAATTGGGGCCTGGCAAGGCATTATTCTCACTTGCTTTTCTGTCTCCCTCTTCTGCTTTTCAGATCCCCGTAATTGCATTGAATCCACTGAAACAATCTGGGATAACCTCCCCAACTCAAGATCCTGACTTAATCGCCAAAGTCTCTTTTGCCACGTAAGGTAACATTCCCAGGTACCAGGAATTAGGAAATGGACGTCTTTGGGGTCCTGTGAACCTGCCTACTACAGAAACCGTACTTGCCAAGAGCTTCTGTTCTATCAAGGAGAGTAGTCAGAAGTATAACACACATATACACTGTGCACACACACACATGCACACACACTATGTGTGAACACACACACACGATGTGTAAAACATAAATAATGTGTAGTGAATGGGGCAGACAGCCAGGGCAAAATCTCATTTGCTTGAGGAAATCACTCCATTACACATTCATTGATTTTTTTCTGTGAATGTTCACTATGCCTGGAGTGGGTATAAAGCTCCATGGTGGGTACTGAAAACACAGAGATAGACTTTTGTCCCTGTCTATCAAACACATTTCTATCAGGAGAGGTGACAAGTATCTAAGTATCTGTAACACAATGTGATGGTTGATAAAGTTTTTAAAAATAGATTTGTGATTTTGAACTCTTTACCAGTATCTTCTGAATCCTGAATTCAATGTACCATTTTCTTACTTTTGAAGCAGTAAGAAGATAGGCAAGTTATTTAAATGTTGTAAGCCATACAACTGCACTTGACAGTCTAATATAAATGACTTTAAATCAGTGAACAGTTCAGATTTAGATTCCGTGGTTGTCGGCCTCATCAGACACATCAGCATCAAATCTATTTAGATTTTATACTGTTGCATGCATACATTAAACTTACACTTTATATTGGTATTTTAATCTCTGAATTGAAATGACTTAAATGTTGATATACATAAATCTGCATTGTGTTTCTATGAAAAGAATAATGTCTTTCAAATATTCTTGGAACGAGATTAAGATTATAGTAGATTATGAAGTTGATTCTATTTTTCTAACACATTTAGATCAAAGCTCCAAGAAATTGGGAAGTATAGAAGCCAGATAGCACAGGAAGATTTTCTGTGATGTTAGGTCAGTAAATTATACTATTTATTATTTATCTATGTATTCCTGAAAGAGAGAAGAATATCACATATTAAATTATTCAGGAGCTGAAATGTGTATAAAGAATGTTTAAATGGCACTGTACAGCTTGTAGGTAAATATGATTAGTACAGGAATAGCTACAAATTTATTTGTAACTAATTTGAAGTTTGAGCCCTGCATTCAAGTTCCTTAGGACGTTTTTCATTGTTGTTCTGTTTTGTTCCCACCCACTACCATGCCCTAGAAGTTCTTGCTATGGAAGTTGGTAGGCTGACAGTGTTTCGAAGACAGGATATAGCTTTTATCTTTTCTTATAGGCGTTACTTGTAGATATTGGAATAATTGT